TGCCCCTGGAGCTCCCCCCGCCCCGCAGCGGGCTCGGCATCTGCCCCATGGGGCGCGACTGCGTGGGGGGGAGCCAGCCGGCTCGCACTCCAGCGCGGGCAGCGACCCGACCCTTCCTGCCCCCCAGGCTCCCTCCGCTAGCCCAGCTCCTCCTCCTCTGGTTTAGCGTGAGAAGCGAGCCCGACAGGGAATCGCTTTATTTCTGGAGAGCCAGATGACGCGAGTTAAGTACCAGCGCCGGCAGCTTTGGAGTCAGGCAGGGAGGGCACATCGCGAGGGTTGTTTTTTTTTTTTGTGAAGGTTTTCCCCTATACGTGAGGGTCTTCCTGGACTGGCCAGTTTAGGCAATATGTAGAAGAGGCGTTTCGTGGTTGTTTTTGTTTAAAGGCAGGCTGTTCTTACATTGAAATGTGAGTTCTTGGAGCTGGGTTATGATCATCTTCTGTATTCTGCCAGCCTGGTAGGAGGAAGATAGCCCGTACGTAAACAGAGCTTTATAAAGCCTTTCTGTCAGTAAAACTTGATACTCTGGAAGTGTGACAGATAGGTTAAACATTGGCTTTCGGGGAAATCCTTTGGACATGACTTGAGTGAGGCCAAAGAGTTGGTGGGCTGATATCTAATGTCTTAGTTGATTTGTTATTTAAATGAGGAGTGGGATTTTTGTATTTTTAAAGCTCTAGTTGCATGATTTTTACATCATTTTGGTGGGCAAGTGTGTCATCTCTGACATCATCTATTTAAGGCAGTGTCACTGCTAACTATTGTGTGTAGAAATCAAGAGTTCTCGATTTTTTTTAAAGCCCATTCTAAGAATCACCGTGGAGTCAAACGTTTTGCTTAGGAAGAACTGGTGGAGCTAACCTATGAAGACTAGCTGCCTAATTAGTTAGGTCTCAAATATTAACACTTCCTTAGGTTTTCTGCTGAATAGGTATACATTTATATTAGGTAAAGGAAGTACTTGGTTATTGCTAAAAGAAATTGATTCAGCACTCAGAAGTATTAGTTAATAACTGCTTGATCCTGTTGAGTCCGTTTTGGTTCACCTACTCTTAGCCATGCACCAGTGTTGAGAAAGATGATCTACTAGTGAGATCCATTACAGTCAACAACAATCAGTGTTTAGTGGAGGAGTGTGTACTGATGCCCAGTCAGATTGAGACGTGCCCATTTTTAAAAGTTAAACCAGTGCATTCACCATTCCACTGAAATACTCCAACTTTAAGTCTATGGTGCAAAGATCTCTATTGTGTGCTCAGCCCAGTTGATTTTCAGGTATGCTAGTGAGTGCTGAATCACAGAGCTGGAAGCTCTTCCCTCATTGGTAGATTGCCCAAACTGGTAACACTATGAATATTTGCATCATTTCATTTGTGTCCTTTCATTTGTGAATAAGTTGTATTTCAAGAATTTGACTAAAGAAGAACATTTATGTTAACAAATGAAGGTTTTGGCATACAGAATCTATTTCCAATTGCCTTCTAAACATAACAACCTGAAAGTGATTATGTTTGCAAAAGCATGGGAGTAGAATGGCAGAGGAATAGTGCCCAGTTTACTAAACTGGAAGAAATGCCAGATGTACTATTTAAAAAAAAAATACTAATTCTATTGTGGACACCTGCTGAGACAAGTCAAGAAAATGCCAGGTAAAATCCTGTTTCTCTTGAAGTCATTGGTAAGATTACAGTTGATTAGACTGGGATTAGGATTTTACCTGAAATCTTCTTCAGATTATTCAATAAAGAATGGATCAAAAATTAAGGTAATTGAAAACCTATACAAAAGCATTTCTGGATCACAAATTTCAGCTATAGCTAGCAGTTGAGATTCATAGCTAGCTACCCTTTAAAATATAAGGAATAGTTATTTAGAGACTAAAAAAGCTTTAGAAAATTATTATACTCAAAAAGGAGCAACAATAGGATTAGTAAGATACAATGTTAATTTAAAAATTCTAGTATCTTCAGGGCAGGGCATAGAGAGTGAATTGGTGAGTGAATTTATTACCTGAATGCTGTAGAGATCACTAATCATTGCCAGTACATTCATAGCAGAGATGGGCTATTGTGTACTCCCTTCCACAGAATCACACCAATCATCATTTTCCACAGGTGAAATCTAAACTGACTGTATTCTTTTCAAATGCAGTTGTTTTGCATGTGGAAGAGCAGTTAACACTGAAGTCAAAATAAACCTTTTAAATTTAAAAATTTAGGATTTTAAGAGATCAGACAAAAGAGAAAAGAGCCATTTTGGATGTGTATCTTTTCAACTAGCTGTATTTATTTTGCTTACACCTTTGATGTGTTTAGATTCTTTTGAGGACTGGACCTATGTAGAAATCACTAAGAGGGGCAGAAATGTTTGTATTCTAATAACTATAGCTTTGATATGGGAATAGTGGGGCTGACCTTTTCCTGATAGGGCAATTACTGATGAATGCTAGTTTCTGAGCTCTGAGAAGCTGGAGAAGCCAGCATTGTGCTAAGACAAAGTGGAAGAAAAAGTTGTAAATGAACAGTGTCTCCAGTGGATTCTGATAATCACACTGAACATAATTGCTTTATGTCCTTATGATAACCCCGAGTAACACCCATAAGGTACCTTACTGCCTTCTATTTGAGCTTTCCTTGCTGAGTGCACCACCATGAATATATCACCATTTTGTGAAACACAGATTTAGAACTAGTTACCACTCAGAATTCTGTTCCCTGTACTATCATAGGCTGTGTCCAGACTTGAGGGTTTTTTCGAAAAAAGTGGCCTTTTTCGAAAAAACTTCTCCTGCGTCTAGACTACAGCCGTGTTCTTTCGAAATTAAATCGAAAGAATGCGACTTTTCTTTTGATGGCGGAAAACCTAATTTCATGAGGAAGAATGCCTTTTTTCGAAAGTGCTCTTTCGAAAAAAGGCATTCTTGAATGCAAACAGGGCTTTTTCGAAAGAGAGCGTCCAGACTGCCTGGGTGCTCTCTTTCGAAAAAGCAGCTTGCTTTTTCGAAAGTACTGCTTGCAGTCTAGATGCTCTTTTTCGAAGGAGGCTTTTTCGAAAGTATCTTTCGAAAAAGTCTCTTTCGAAAGAGGCTTGCAGTCTCGATGTAGCCATACAGGATAGTATTTTTTATGCCACTACAGTCAGGTCTAGTATAGGTCCCATTATATTACAAACCCTCTTAAGATGTGGAATTTATAACTGTAGTAAGATATTTTAGGCAGAAACTTGGCAGACAGTTGATCCCCAAACAAATACTTTTATCAAACTTGGTTACATTTTAAGTTCTAAGTGCGCAAAAGAGTAGTGTAACACCTTGGGCAATTTTTCTTTAATAAATACTGGACTCAGTCCTTGGAATAGATTCTGTTGCTGCTCCCAGAAAAGGAGCAAAATGGAGAACAGAACATGTACCATCCAGACACAGTCAGGTTTTTCACAGATACAGTATCTTAATGCATGCTCCTTCTGACATGTCCAAAGTACCTAACTCTGCACTGCTGTGAAATTACATCTGCTCATAATGGGTTGTTTCTTATTTTCCTTAGTCTCTGAATACTGTTTATTTAACTAATTGACAGGGTAAATAATTGAAATGTGTATCCATCTTTCAAAAGCTACTTTTTTCAGGCTAATAATTCACACTTAAGAATCTGTATTTATTGGTGTGTGTACTCTGGATTGTTCCAAAATACATATTGTCCAAGATTTAGTTCCAAAAATCTTTTGAGTGAAAACAAAGATACTTGTTAAATCTCTCACAGCCCACCACCGCTACCTGGAAAAAAAAGTCTTAAGTAATTTATGAGCGTGGTTAGTAGAAATCTAGTTAAAAGTCAAAGCCTTTCATGGTAGTAGGAACAACATTTGAAGACACCTATACATAAGGAATACTTGGCAATCAAAGAATTTCTATGGACTTAAGTCTTTCATCTTGGATATTAATCCCCTTCTCAGATATACGTGTCCCATACTGTTTTAACTTTAATGATTTCGATGGAGTTCATCCCAATTCAAAATCATACCCAAGATTAAAGTTTTCATATATTGCCTTGACAGAGGGTCCCCAGAATGAAGCATTTCCATGTTATATTAAAAGTTTATGTTCTACAATAGAGCAGTTTAGATGCTTCTGTTAGTGGACTCTTACCTTCTTCAAGGGCAAATTTTTCATGCTTTGTTTTCATTTCAGATGAGTGATTTTGGAATCAAGAACATGGATCAAGTAGCTCCTGTGTTAAACACCTACAGAGGAATGCTCAAGGTGAGTTTTCCTAGGAGAAATGCTAAAAACAAGTGGTCTTATCTCTCACTCTGTACACATACTCTGTTAATGAGAGACATGCATGTGCATGCTGAGAAAAGAGTAGTCTCACTATTAAAATGCTAATTACATTTGGGTTCGTTTTTCTTGGTATTCCTTTCTGTAAGATCAGAAGGAACATATACTTTATACCTAGCCATTTAAAGCACTCTATTTAAAAAAGAAAATATACATTTGACAAACCCATCCAAAAGGTTGGAATGCAAGGTGAAAGGTCAGATTCAATCTACCAAATGAAAACCTAGATCAGAGGTCTCAAACTCTTGGCCCATGGGCCAGCCCTGGCCAAAGCGATTGCACAGTCTGACCTAGTACTTCTTTTGGGTGGGGGCTGCCCATTACCTGTCCCCAAGCCATGCCCCTTCCTACCATTGCCCCACCTTCTTATCCCATGAGAATGCAGTGGCAATCCCCAGAGAATGCAGTGGTAGGAGTCGTCAGAGAAGTGGAGCCACTGCGGGGAGTGTGGGGGTTTGGGGCCGACTGCTGTCGCTATGCAACACGAGGCCCCCCCGGTGATCCCTGAAGCTGTATCCTTGGGGGACAAGATGTCATGGGGAGAGGAGAAGGCAGGGCAGTGGTGGGAAGGGGTGGAGTTTAGGGCCCAGTATCAGACAGACTGCCCTGCCCCACTGGGAGTCCCATACTGGATTTCACAATCGCTCCAGCCAGGACTGGCCCACAGGCCAGGAGTTTGCAATCCCTGATCTAGACTAAAATGTATGAAAACAAAACTAGTCAGTTTTATTTCTAAGAAATAGTTGTTCACATTTCTTGGCTTGCTTTGAAAGAAATTTACAAATTGAGGACAGGACACAAAAATAGAATTTAAGATTTCATTTTATAACTGTTTGCAAGGACATTCATTTAAAAGTATTGGTGGTGGTGTGTGTTTGTGCGTGTGGTTTTTTTTTTTTTTTTAAATCATTCATGAAAAGTTGTTAGCCAGCATTGGTCACTCTTTCTATCCCTGGTATCAAGGCAAATCAAAAAGATCAGTCAAACTTTGGCCTAGAAAGCTATGAGAAATACCAGTGTTTTAGAGATGATATAATAATCTCGTTTGAAGTCAGTTGCAATTTTTTCCACTTGCTTATATACTTTGTTTTGCTAACCAGCAACCAAATATGCTCTATGAAATGAATAATAAGTGTTAGGTGAAACTTGTGAATGGAGTGCTCTCCCATGCAGGAGTTAAGCCAGGCACAAAACAAAGTAGAGATTAACATTTGTTGCAATTTTATGTCAACCCTTAAGGCTCAATTACACCACTGCATAGTGGGTTTTTTCCCCGGTTCTTTTGGATTTGCTTCAAGTTTTGCACTATTTAGTAATAAATGTATACATAATTGCTATGAAACCAAATAATGCTTTTTTGCTATAAGCAGGATTTATTCCATATGGTAGTTTATTACATATCCAGAGAATTATTCAAACATTAACTAATACATTTTACATTTCTGAAACATGAGACTAGAGTACAGTGTGCTTTCTACTCAGTCATATACTACTGCATTTTTTCCTATGACTCACTGTAGGGGTCATTTATTTACACAAAACACAGGAGTTTCCAGATTATGTTGAAAGAACTTGGCCTTTTCTCTAGATAAAAGTGGTGAATCAGACCTATTATCTATTAACATTTAAAGCATTTTTCTAGTAGCAGACCAGACCAGCTGGTTTTATTATTAACTGTTTCACAGATAACAAAAAGCTTTAAAGTATCTTTCCTCTAATATTTATTATTGCTGTCATGTGGCACCTGAACAATCTTTGTTCACGCTAATTATGTTACTTTAAAGCTGGTGGTGTATTTTTGGACAATTAGCCATTAAACTTCTAGACTCTCTTTTTCTTCATGCCAGCTTCTTCCTTCTGTGGGTCATAGGCTACCATGAATTACATCCTGAAATGCATAGAAATTTGTTATAAAAACCTGTCTCAATACTACCTGCAAGTTCAGTGTCTTGAGTTCCTGCCCTGCCAGTTTACAAAACAAGAACGGTACCATGCACAAAAATTGTAAAGCTATAAACTTCACAAAGGAACCATGCTGGATTCAGAGAGAGACCAGCATATTTAAATACGCTAGGCTGCAAAAAGAATTTAAGTTAATATAGTCAATTGATTGCAAGTCTGTATTATGCTGAGGAGCCATTAACTTATTTTCAGCAGAATTTTATGCCTTTGCATTAACATTTAAGTGGATGCCTAAGCAAACAGGAACCATCTACAGTACAGATACTGTATGTGTTTCCTCAGTCTCTGCTCCTCAGTGCTGCTGATGCTGTCATGAGTATCAGTGTTGTGTTCTGTAGCTTTCCAAATACTGTACCCACAGGTTTGGGTTGCAAGGGGTGAGGGAGGGTGGTTTGTTTTTTGTTTTAAATCTCATCAATGGAATTTCTAGACACCCTTTGCCTCATAGTTGGCATGTTAAGTAGAAACATTTTCTACAAAAGTGAGCTGAATAAACTTGTAGCTTTTTTGACCTGTTTACTAAGGAGAGGAACATGTGGCCTGAGAGATTCAGTAATAACTTTGCAAGTATATGGACCCTTCCAACTATACCACTTCAGAGGCAAGATTTTTTTTCTACGAATATCTGTAGTCTTTAATAAAAGTGACTACTAGAGCATCAGAAACCACTTTCTGCCCCTCCATCCATACCCTCCCCAAATATTATATTATAGCCAGTCCTCCTTATTTTAGTTCATAGATTTTAAACTAGCAAAGGTTAATTAAATTGAGACTACTGAAGACTAACAAGTTGTTTTGTGAAATACTGTAGTTGATATAGTCTCGTAACTAACCTAAACCGTAAAATTAAAAGCTAAGAAAAGACTGCTTCACAAATAGGTTATAAGATTGCTTTATAGCCTTAAGTAATGTGGTTCAGATTAAATATTTCCAAAAATGTATATCTACGTACATCTTCACATTGACTAGAATCACTAGTCCTTCTAGTAAAACAGCACTTGAAGTCATCATTAGCCATGTACATGATACTAATCTCTCCTCACAATTTTGCAATCAGAATAAAATTTTGGTTATAGAAAAGATTAAAATACCTGTTAATTGTGCCTACTATAGCTAATTGTGCCTACTATAGATAAAGTTTGTGGGAGTCTTTTCACTGTATCTCAATTTTAAAATCACAAATCTTGAATTCAAAGATACAGCTCTCACACTGCAAACAGATGTCCTTTTTTTTTTTTTTTTTTTTTTTTTTTCCCCAAACGTAGTCTTGCAGAATGCTGTCTAGGGATGTTAAGTAGTGTTTAATTAGCTAATCGAGTAGTAGATGGAATTTCCATCAATTAGTCGACAAGAGGGGGTGCTTGCTACTCCTGCTGCAGCTCTGCAGTTTAAATGTAGTAGGAGCCGGGCATACAGGCAGCTTGGCTCCTACTACATTTAAACTACAGAGCCATAGCGGTGTTAGCTCCCAGGGGCGGCATGAGCCAAGATTGAAGCAGTCCTGGCTCATGCTGGGTCCCCCACTGAACCTCTGCCCCACCCCACAGAGACAGTGCTGGGGGGAACCGAAGCTAGCTCCCCCAGCTCTAGCTCCTGCTCTCCCTCCCCTTTGCTATCTGGGATACAGAAGCAGCAAGGGGGTAAATGAATAGTCACGTACTGACTCGACTACCTGGTAAGCTTAGGCTTATTGAGTTGTCGACTACAACTTGTCTCTTACTTCCCTAATGTTGCCTCCAGTCAATAACAGCTCAGCTGGGAACTTGATCCTCTTCACCTTTATGGAGGGTAGAAGCATCAAATCCTAAATGGGGCCATGTACATTCTGACTATTTATATGGGCAGCATTGTCTTTAAAAAGATTAAACACAGTTCTTTGCATTTTAGTGTAGCAGACTTTTTGATCAGAAGGCCAGATCTTCAGGTTATCTAAACCACCTTAGCACCAATGAAATCACCTTTTTTTTATTCTGATTTATACCATCTGTGGTTCTTACCCAGAAAGACAAGAAACAAATATTCGTTCTTCTTTATTATATAAACATAGTATTTGCTAATTTTGTATAATGTGTAGATAGCATAGTATACCATTGTCCATGTTATTAAAAAAAAAAAGGTTACCATAGGATACACTGAATGTGTCGCACAGGAAAGTTAGCACTGCTGTTGGAACCTTAACTTTTGCATTTTTATTTTAACTATACAGCCTTAAAATCACATGAATTGTTATTTATTTATACTCTGAACTCATGGTTTAAGTTTTCAGAAGATTGTATGTACATTATCTCCATATACTAATTTAACCCACCCCCTTTATAGTTAATATTAGTGTGCTCTAGCAAAATACTTACACTGAATGTTCTTTTTTTTTAACCATTTTTCAGCATCAACAAGCATTTGACGCCTTTGATGTCACAAACTCTTTGTTTGTGGGATATTTTCCCTCATTAAATGAAGATCAAACCCTTCAAGAAGTGCCAACAGGGTTTGATTCAATGTCTTATGGTAAATATTGTTTTTGTGTTTAACTGCATTAGTCAAAAGAGAAAGTGCTAGGTTCCCTTTATGTTTCAGTCATTGTTACGTACAGTGCACAACAATAAGTCTTTAATACTAGAGAAGACTTTTTAAATATTACTTTAAGGCTTCAGTTGTGCAGATAGTGCCATACATTCTTAAGTTTATTCACACGAGTAATTCCAGTGCTAGCTTACAGCTTCCCATACTGGAAACCTACACAATGTATGGTATGTGAATATGAGAGGCTCTGTTGTCTGAAGGAAAAAAACCTATTAGGCATACTAGAACAAATTTAAAATGTCTTTGGAAATGTTTATCTGCTAAAGATTATTAGTATTGTTAAGATTATCTACCTTCGCTTACATGTTCATTTCTATAATTTAAGTTGGTGCATCTTTAAAATGGGTCAAGACACAATATAAGAGTTCCGTGTAGTCCTGCTAAACTTGGATAAATGTAGAACTCTACAAGGTCCCCGGTGCCCTTTCCCTCAAGTTTATTCTGCCTCTTTAGAAACTGAATAAATAACAAATTGAAATGCTTGTAGCAGTACTGTACTCACTGAAAGGTCTCCATTTACCTTCACCTCAGATCTCTCTGACTGGCTTATTCCCAAGCTGCTCAGATACAATAGTGATGGAAATTGCTTTATTCAACCTTGCAATGAGCTCCACACGTGTGCAGAGGTTCACCTGCTTCCTCTCATGCAGCTCGTTGCAGGATCAGGGCCAGAGATAGCTAGACTAGCTTTGCAGATTCATGCAGTCCTAAAGCCTGACAGCTTATCTGACATGTATGCACACATTCATTGTGACAGTAACCTTGCTAGATACAGCATTTGTTAATAACATGAGTGCAACCTAACTTTGTCAGCCACAATCTCTGTACTCTTTTTGAAAAAGATCTGTGGAAAAAGTTTGAAGGATTTTGAACCAGCTAGTTCCAAGCTATGGGGACCCAAGGAAATTTGCAACACTAGTCAGAATATCAAATCAGGGTAACTTTTAATGACAGGTAATACAAAAAGAATTTGAACACTCTCAAACTTTACTTCCAGAATAAGTATGGACATTTCCATGCCAAATCTCTATATGTAAAAATCAACAGAAGCAAAATTAAAAAAAAAAAAAAAAAAAAGCTTGCAGATGAATTATTCCTTTGAGTGGCATGGTTGCAGTACTAAAGATAATCACTAAGGAGTGATTATCAAGATTAGGAATTTGTAACAATTTATGGCTGCATAAAATTAAATATCTTGATCATCTGCCAGTTATATTAATTTGGCATTGGGAACTAGCTTTTGACGTTCTAACACTTGAATATTACCGTACTATACCACAAATTCAAGTTGACTGATATATGCATGAATGGGTTTAGCATTCAATCTAGTGAAGTGGTAAATGTATCCACAAGCCAACTCATCACTGCTACCCATTCTATTCCATAGTTCTCAAGGTCAGTGCAGGGTATCCTGGGTTGAAAGGATATCACTCTGATGTCAAATTATGGTGAGTAAAAAGGAAATAGCAATCTTATTTTCTAATAAAGATAATTAACTCTACATAACAGAGGCATACTTCTAACTACCAAAGTCAATTGGAGTCTGCATCATTAGCTACAACAAAATCTTTTATGCTGGCATAGAGCATTTATAGATAGGGTTTGGCACATTTGGTTCCATTTTATAGCTGGAAGCCTCTTCTGCTTACTTGAGATATATATATATATATATATATATATATAAAAGCAACATAGTAGATTAGTAGATTTGCTGTTATCTTTCTGGTTTGTTAGCCTTAATGCTAATATTTCCCCCCCTCCCTTCTTTTAGAGTCAAACAGCTGTGAATTGCCTCTCTTAACCCCATGCAGTAAGGCTGTGATGAGTCAGGCCTTAAAGGCTACTTTCAATGGCTTTGCAAAAGAACAGTGTCGTCTGGGCATCCCAAATAGTAAGTGCTTTTTATTTATAACCTCATTTTTAAAGCAAAAATGATGCTGACTGGTTAGATAATACAAAAGAGAAGCAAATAAACTGAGCTCATCCAGGGAGTACAAGAGAATACAAAAAGGAAAACTAGAGCACTGATTTTAAAGACTAGATCATTGATATTTGAGCTTCAGAATTAGATATCCTAGATAACGTTTAAACATGAGCCCTCACTCTTGATATCTTTTTAAACTAAACTTATTTAAGCTTCTTACAAACATAAATATCAAGAGTTGCTTCTAAAGATTATGTTCTTTCCCTCTCCCCTTTACAGATCCTTGGCTGTGGACTGAACAGCAGGTTTGCCAATGGCTTTTCTGGGCTACCAAGGAATTTAGTTTGGCAAATGTGAACTTTCAGCAGTTTGTCATGAACGGGCAAGACTTGTGCAGCCTGGGCAAGGAACGTTTTTTGGAGCTGGCTCCTGATTATGTAGGCGACATTCTGTGGGAACACCTGGAACAGATGCTAAAAGGTAGCTGGAGAGTCAAAAAGAATTCCTACTCTGTCATTGTAACAACGAAGACAGAAAGCAAAGCCCTCAAGTGCAACTGATGTACTTTGTGGTTTGTAATTGCTTAAAAAACGCAGAAATGAATTTAAAATGTTCAAACATTATCAAAAGTATCTCTAAAACATTTTCTGGAGAGCATAAAAACAATCATTAGTCATCATTTTCTGGAGAACATAAAAACAATCATCAGTCATCACTAACTTATTCCCGGACTGTGTAGCTGTGACAAAGGACACTTTTTTTTTTAATACAGAACACTCTTGGTTTCTGTTATTTTCACTCCAACTCATGGGATGAAGTGGGTTTTACCCACTAAAGTTCATGATGCTATATATTTCTGTTAGTCTCTAGGGTGCCACAGGACTACTAGTTCTTTCTGAGAGATAAGAGAAATCTGATATTATACATTCAAATAAGAAAAAAAAGTAACCAAAAGTCAAACTAGATCACTTCATGTTACTAGTGACCTGTGCCAGTGTTTTGAAATAAGTTGGTGAATAAATGTAAGAGAGATGGGGAGACTAGAGAGCATGTTAATTGCGACAAAAGAAGGAGGAGGACAAATTTTGTCAAGGGGCTTCACATGGATGCCCACCCTGCTCATCCCTCAAGTTGAGAGCCTTTAAACAACTACTGAAAAAGAAGGAAAAACCTTTTTTCTTTTCCCATTTTTACCATAAGTTGTCTTTCAACTTTCAAAGTTGTTTAACAAATACTTAAATGTGTTCTTTTGTGCAGTTGGATTTTGGTTATGTAACTTTGTCTTTTTTCACTTTAGCCCTGTATGTAAAACACTTATCTAATACCTAGATTCTACAAACTTATGAGTAGATAATCACCTTGACTTAAATGGAAAAGTACATGTACATGAAGTTAAGCAAGTGCTGAAATGTTTGCAGGATCAGAGTCTTAAACATATTGCAGATTGGATATTAGAATTCCATTAGCATGACATTTTCCCTAATAGCAGTTATTTCCTGGGGAAATTTATCAGGTTACTAACTTCATTTGATTGTCTCAAATGCTTGCAGTCACTTTAAAGTTCCCCATAATGTCCGTCCACATGTGTAAACAGATTTTGTTCTGTTTTCAGACAGTCAAGAGAAGATACAGGACCAATATGTTGAAAACTCTCATCTTACCTCAGTCCCACACTGGGTCAACAACAACTCACTAAGTAGGTATCCTGTTTGGTTGACACGTAAAATCACTTCCCTAATGTTATGCTGCATGTGATATTACCAGGGCTCGCCGAACTGCAGCGAGCCCTGCTCGCCAGCCGCGCTTTCCGGCGATCTGCGCATGCGCAGATCCTTCTGCACATGCGCAGATTGCCCGAACCCGGCTCTTCCGGGTTGCAATCTACTTGCCCTGGGCAAGTAGATTGTATTATTTGTCAAGCCCTGGATATCACAAACTGTAATTAGACATGTTTTTAGGCAAATCTTGGAGTCAGTGAAACCAGGAGGGAAGAAGGCAATGTTAAAGCTGTGGTTAATTAAAAGTCAAACTTCTTTGGTACGTGAATTGCCAAAAATCTAGAATTTTAATAAAACTAGCCACTACTAAAACTACATTGCTGAAACTAAAAGCAGCACTGATGGGTTCCAGCAGGAGTCATGTTTTTAGGAGCTTTGTGGTAGAAGAAAGGTGGATGCAATATGGAACCTTGGAGGGCAAATTGAGTAAATAGGGAGGGAGATGGGGACCATAGTGGCCCTCTCCCTACATCTTCCCCCAACCCCACCCTGACTGCATAAATGTATGAGGGTGTATTTTCAGCATAATTAATCTGCTGATCAGTTAACAAGAGAAAGATACCCCTCTGGACCACTTAGCCTCTTCCTCTGTTCTTTCTCTCTGTACTGTCATTCGGATGAACTGTAGAACTCTGGACAACTGGCTGTCTGAATCCACAGCAGATACAGATAGTGGGTTACAGAATCTGGTTCAAAGCCTAGTGAAATCAGTGGGAGTCCTTCCACTGGCTATGGGTTTAATCAAAATCTATTAATATCAATCATTCCTACCCAGTCTGGTTTTCAGGTACAAAAACAATTTTTTTTGGTTGTGTAAATGTATCTGTTGCAGTGGATGGGTTGACTTGGTTTTTGTTCTGCTTACATGAAAGTGTTAAATTTATAACAAAAACTGCAATGCATTACTAAGCCATTCCTTTTTCCCCCCTCCTTCCCTCTTTAGGTTTTAATACAGAACAGGCACCTTATGGTATGCAAATGCATAGCTACCCCAAACCCCTCACTTATCCCAAACACAGCCTCCTGAATGACCTATGTCAGGCTTCTGCCGGAGCAAATCTTCTCAGCCCAGATCAAGAATTTTCCATGTTTCCCAAAGCTCAGTTAGAGACAGTCAATGTGAACTTCTGCTCCATGACCCAAGACTTCACAAGAAACAATCTGAACTTGCTGATAGATAACTCTGGTAAGATATATCTTATACATTTGCTAATTAGTTTAAAGCTATGCACTCTTTTCTGAACATAGCTTATACATACAAAATACATTGAGTAACAACCATTATTCAATTTCTTAGGCAAAACTAGAGAGCATGAATCAACTGACAGCAGCACAGAAAGTTATGAAAATACAGAGTCTCAACTTCAGTCCTGGAACAGCCAGTCGTCTTTAGTGGATGTACAACGTGTGCCCTCTTATGAAAGTTTTGAAGATGATTGTAGCCAGTCTTTGTGCCTGAACAAGCCTACTATGTCTTTCAAAGACTACATTCAAGAAAGAAGTGATCCTGTAGAGCAAGGGAAACCAGTTATACCAGCAGCAATTCTAGCAGGCTTTACAGGCAAGTGATGTCACACGCTATCTCTTGGTCTCTTGCTTCTGATCCCTTTTTATAGGTGTATGTCTGTGTTGACAAAGAGAGGTTGAGAGGTACACTCTTCCCTCCTTTTAAGGAGGAATTAAAGGAAACGCCAGACAACCTTCAGTTCAAGGAGTTTACCAGCATTGATTCACCCACTAAGCATTCATTCCTAGAGTGCTTACTCAGGCAAAGTGTTCATCACTGGACGCTTCATCAGGGCAAGGGCTTCAGTTTAGACTCAAGTTTTAAATATAACTGCCAGCAGAAAGGAATCAAGTGTCGGCCGGGGGGAGGAGCAACTCTTAGTTTGAATAACTTTTCTGAATTAAAATAGTGTACTCAGTTCATTACAATGCATCCTTCAGCAGCTTCCGAAACAGTCCCAGTTGTTTGGCTGAAGCAAAGAACATCTTAACGTTACATTGGTTAGAAAAAAATCTTACATTTATGTTATGTGTCTTTTATCCTCTAGTTATGGTTAATAATTATACTCTCTTATTGGTTTTTGTCAGGCAGTGGACCTATACAACTGTGGCAATTCCTTCTGGAGTTACTAACAGACAAATCCTGTCAATCATTTATTAGCTGGACTGGAGATGGATGGGAGTTTAAACTTGCTGACCCAGATGAGGTATGTGGCCATTTGTGACCAAATAAAAATCTAGGCCCTGATCTTACATGTTGTATCAGTGAAAGTACCTCTCGAGGCAGAGTGTTTACAGGACCAGGAGTCTTTGTAAACTATTGTGCATTCTGGATTGATCCTTAGTAACTTTTGAAGAGCACCAATCAAGTACCTAGGTGCACATAAATGTTTAGTGTATGGTAGATTTACTTTGCAAGCTGCATTTACATTTAACTTACCTCAGTGCTTAACTGTTTAAAGAAAGTAGCTTACTTGATAAAACCTCTGAGAATTGAGAGAAACATGGCAGATAGATCTTTGAAGGTCTCAGAATTCTGTATGTTTTCTGATATGCACTGAATGACTGCTGTGATCATTGGAAATGAAAACCAGCTATTAACAGAATAAATGCCAGCCTTTTAATTGATGATGGAATCACTTTCTGATGTAGTTAAGGAGGCCTGATCCCAAGGCTGACAGAAATCAGTGAAAAGACTCACATTGCCTTTAGTTGGCTTTGGATTTGGCCTTAAGCGACTTAGAATAATTCAACTTTCTCTTAAAGAACTACATTGGTCTACTCTCTCGTATGAAGTGGTTAAGAGAGGGAAGAAAACCCCTTAATCTCTTCTCCTACACTAACAGCTTATTTAAATCCCTTTGTGGCAAGGTGCTCCACTGACTTTTGGGTTCATGTTCATAGGCCTAGATCTTATTCTTTTTTTAATCAAAGGCTGACCAGTAACTCTATCAGAGTGTTCATTAAAGTTTTAGCCCTTACTCATCCACGTATCCTAATTGATTCAATGACATTTGAACCATCAAAATGACTTGGTTGCTAAATAAACTGAGATAATATGCTCTAATTGGCTTGTTTTGTCTTTTTTTCTTCTTCTTCTTCTTCTTCTGGGGATGAAGGTGGCACGACGGTGGGGAAGAAGGAAAAACAAGCCAAAAATGAACTATGAGAAACTAAGCCGAGGCCTGCGCTATTATTATGACAAGAACATCATCCACAAGACTTCAGGGAAACGTTATGTGTATCGGTTTGTATGTGACCTACAGAACCTGCTAGGGTACACAGCAGAGGAACTTCATGCGATGCTGGGAGTGCAGCCGGATACGGAAGATTGAGCACTGCAATATCATGCAAAACTGGAAAAGATTGCAAGATATTTTGAACAGTGACGAGGACCCATCTGCAGTCAGTCTTTTGACTGTTCTGATTGGTGCAACTGTTAAGAAATAAGGACCTTGAAGTGGTTTTGTAATCGGCGAAAGCTGAAGGAAGAAGTGGCCTTATTTCATCAGACGCAGTGGCTTCAAGTATTGCTGCACTAAGTCCTTTGGAGCAGTGTGGAGGATGGCATGGTGCCTCATTCTAACCTGAAGACATGGAAATGCTCTAGGGTTAAATGTTTTTTGGCTTTTTATACTGCCATATAATTATGGGTTGCTTTTAATACCAAAGGTTGGAGAGTGACCAGTAATACATCAGAATTCTAGTTGAAAACGTAACTAGGTTGCTTACATCGTGATCTACATCTAAAAAAAACCTACTGAACCTTTACTTTAAAGCAGAGAGAGAGACAGATTTGTATTGTACATTTTCTTATTACAACAAAGGTGTTAGATAAGTACAGAAACATTTTGTTTTAAGTTTCAAAACAAGGTGTAGCAATTACAATTTTTTCCTTCAAGAGAGGAGGAAAAATGCACCATTTCAAGTCAGTTTGTATATATTTATATGCTTCTTCTTGAAGTTCTTTAATGTTCCTATTTAACAGATATTGTATATTGTAATTTAACATAATTGTACGTGTTTTTAAAATAGGAAGAATGTAAACATGTTTTTCATGTTTGAATAGGACATAACATTCTGCAGTCTGAAGAAGGCTGTAAAATGTCTAGTAGAAGATCATACTGTATGCCTGTAATATACAAATTTATACTGAGGGTATTGGTTGAATATTTTTGCCATGACTGTAGCTTGCAAACTGTTCATTCTGGCATTTTTACAAGAAATTAATACAATCTGGGGAATAAAGGGCCTGTTTCTCTTAAAAGGAAAATATTAACATGGATAAATGAAACTTTTTTGTTGATAAAATGGCATTTTTCTCTTCTGTGCATGTCCTTTTTAAAAACCATTTATGTTCAAGCCTTTCTGTTGAATTGTCTCCTTTTTTCCCCTCTGACTTATCTGTCATGATTAAAATATGAATTCTATTTTTAGAAATAATGGTGGCTCTTTTTCAGAGATCAGAAGGGATTTATGTAGCAACTATTTTTTTACTGCAAAAAAACCCAAACAATTCACTGGAAAACTACTTTGTAAGAAAGCTTTATTTTTATCTGAGCTTGATGTACATTGAAATGTGTTGTACAGTATGGAGGAGAAGCAAATCTTTATTAAAACATCTTAGAAACAGAAACAATGTTATGTATCATTTAATTTCCATTAATTCCTGAACATGTTTATTAGCTTTCTTGCAGTACATTGTTGTGGAAACAAAAATACCTTCTGAAGTCACAGACCTGATTCTCTTCTCAGACCAGTATAAACTAGAAATAAGTCTGTCAAGAGTTGAGGTTCTTCAGTGCACAGCTCTTGTGGTCAGAGAATCAGGCAAGAAACTCTTTTGGTAGGGATATTTAACCAGCAGCAGTAAAAGGGGAGAGTGCCAGCATAAAGCTCTAAGCTCTTCCTCAAACAGCACCTTATGTAAGATGTTCAGTCCAGGGCTGTTTGAGGAAGAGCTCAGAGCTTTATGCTGGCACTCTCCCCTTTTACTGCTAGAGCGTACAGTACATGTGTCTGATTTCAAGTTACAAGGGAGATGCTATCCTTTTTTCATAGTTTAAACTCAAGCTGGCATTTGATAACTTGGAATAAGGTTAAGTGTGAATTTTAAAGTGCAGTTGTGGACTCGCTTATTCCAGAATAACTATGCTCTTCCTAAATAACTGCATAGAAAAGCCCTTACTTACCCATTTAGGGATATATTTTGTGGGTGGGTGGTATGGATTAAAAGCCTGTTTTCAAGTACTATAAATCTTCCCTCCCCCACCCCCACCCCCTGGTAAGACAGTTGGCCATAACATGTCAGTTGTTCTTAAGTCTATCTTTCTGTAAAGAAACAACAAATGGACAAAATAATATAATCTGATTCCTTGTTTTAGTTTCTACAAAAATATGCCCAGTTTTCTCTCATCATACTGAATTCATCTTGCTGCAAAAGAGCAGAATGTGTAGTTTTGCAAAGTGCTGTTGAAAACAAAACACAATGGAGGAGATGGAAGCTCTCAAATGTGTCCTTCCAAATTTCTGGGACTAGTAGGGCAAAACTTCATCTGTCTATGGGCACATGATGTGCCATGAACTTTGAAGGAAATCAGACACAGTGACTGCCCGGCTAAGAACAGATTAGACAAACCCCTGTCAGGAAAATTCTAGATAATGCTTACTTATGCCATGAGGACTGGACTAGGTGACCTCTCAAGGTCCCTTCCAGATTTACAATTCTAACTTTTCCATAGCCCATACAAGGGAAAAAGGGAAATGCCATACTCACCACCGCTATTGCAGGTCCACATACGTTGCCGTCTGAAGGTGTCTTACAGCTAACAAAGGAATGTATAGCTTGAACAGAAAGGCAACATCTACACTGCAGGCTTCTTGCGCAAGAACTGTTTCGCGCAAAAGGTCTTTCACAAAAGTGCGTTCACACTGCCATGTGCTTTTGTGGAAGAGATGTGCTTTTGCGCAAGAGCGTCCATGGCAGTGTGGATGCTCTCTTGTGCAAGAAAGCTCTAATGGCCTTTTTAGCCATAGGGATTTCTTGCGCAAGAAATTCATGTTGCCTGTCTACACTGGCTTCTTCTGGAAGAGCTCTTGCGCAAGAGCGCTTATACCTTGTCGGGAGAGGAATAACTCTTCTGGAAAAAACACTGTTTTCTGACGCTGTACTGTAAATTTACTTGCGCAAGAACGCACATGCAGTATAAACGCTCTAAGTTTTTGCGCAAGAATGGCTGTTCTGCTGCAAAAAGCCTGCAGTGTAGATGTAGCCAAGTAGTTTCAAGGGTATGAGCCAAAGCCCAAGAGTCAGTGGAAAAGCACCCAAAATTTTCAGTGGGGTTTGATGAATTAAGGCTTTTCAGATGCAGTACTACAGTGTAGATATAAAAATTACTCACTTCTGGTCTGGGTTTCTAAGAAGGGCGTGGGGAGGGAAATGTATTATTTCCTTTATAGCCATATCATTGTCTACAACGAATTTAAGGGTATTTCAGTCCTCATTTGAACAGTCTGTTCATAAAAGGCTCATTTTCAATGCACATTTCCTAAGTACAGCACTATTGCTCATTTAAAGCTGAAGCCTAATAGCTTATTATTCATAAGACGGGCATTTACACAAAGTTAAGCTTCTATTCCTCAAATCCAACAAAAATCTCACATCAGTAGGAATGCAGAGTACTGAAGTCCTAAACTGTCCATATTAATGTGCATATTCTGTGACTTTGACTGATGTTCTCATGGAATGGATTCCACCTGAAACATAGGGAGGGAAATAGAATTTGGGGATGAGGGTTGGCACATTCAATTAAAAGAGCTCTAAACTAGGCTCTCCAGGGAGTGGGTTGGAAGAGGTTCATGTAATCTCCACAACTGATTTTTTAACATGGAAAGGGGGGGAAATCAAGTGAGAAAGGACACTGAAACAAGTGATACTGGCAGTGGAACGACTGTTCCCAGCTGGGTAACAAATATTGCTTCTTGGCTTTGCCCACAGTTAAAACATTTGTACACCAGTGCAAGGAGCCTGACCTCTAAAATGGAGGAAATAGAACTGCTGGTGCAGGAAGGGAAACCAGATATGACAGGGGTAACAAACTAGAGGTGTTAGAGATCATGTATTTTAGTAATTGTGTGGCTGCAACAATTTTTAGTGTTTACACAATTACTAAAATACTCCCCGGAGGTGGGGCCGGCAGCCAGTGCACTCCCGGCCCCATTCCTGAGGAGCCCCCTGCCTCCGCTGTCTTGGCAACAACATAGGGTGGCAGATGAAGTTGGTTCATGAGGGGAGCTGGTTTAAAAATCCGAGCTCCCTACAGACGGAGGCTGTTCCAGCAGGGCAGGCAGCTCAGGGGGAGCTGGCTTAAAAGCACTGGCTACCATCTTCCCCTCCACTGCCTCTGTGGGAGGGAGCAAGGAAGGGGGGGCAGAGGCATTGCAGAGCCAGCACTTGAAGAGAACCGGATTAAAAGTATGTATCCAGCCTACCCCCTTTTCTCCCGCGCTGCTGCCTCTGATAGACAGCAGTACAGAGGGAGGAAAGCAGCTAATAGGCATGTGGAGCCAGCTTGAAAGCCAGCTTCCCTCATGTACTGACTCCAACCTGTCCCCCTCACCCTCCATGTCTATTATTATTTTACATCTAGCTCTGTCACAGTCTTCCACTGACTTTGAGTAAGACGCTTCAGATCTGTGTGTCAGCTCCTCATCCATTAAATGGGAATAATAAAGCTTCCTTTGTCAATTTTGCCCTATTTAGATTGCAAGCTTGTTGGGATAGGAACAGTCTCTTAGGCTACGTCTACACCATGGAGCTATTTTGGGATACGTCTTGGGATACTGGAAGTATCCTGAAATAGCTCTTTTGCATCTTTTGAGCAAGCCCCCGTTATTTCAAAATATAACAGGTTCGCTATTCCGACATCCCTGTAAACCTTGTTTCACACAGATTAAGGGACATTTTGGAATAGTGCTCTATTTCAAAAGTATCTTGAAATAAGCTATACAATTTGTGTAGCTCGAGAGTGCAGTGTAGACATATCCTTAGCATCTGTACAATGCTTTCCATAACAGGGCCCTGACCTCAGCTAGTAAGTTCATACAAATAATAGTTCATCATCTTTCAAAAGTATTTAATATATTTGTGACTAGTAAAAGCAAAGCTTCATTCTGTCTAACATTAAGGGCCTACTTAATTATTACGAAGGCACATTTTGGGCTGATAGTCCAAACATATAGGACTAAAGTCTGTAGTGACTGAGATCAATAGGGTTGCACAGTGTTTAAGTGCAGACTTTGGCCCTTAATATTTAATATCTTGTAATGTAGATATTATACCATGATCTAATATAAATATCTAGAAGTAGACAGACTCCATAATCTTAATTTTATTAAGTATGTCCACTGGCGTCAAAGAAGAAAAAGAAAAAAAGAGCCTGTGATTGTGTTGTGGTTAAAGGTTTAAACTATCACAACATTTCACATGGAGTTTTAATATAGAAAGGGGAAAGACTGATTTTTTGTTATAACAGGGCTGGCTGCATGCTTACAGCTGAAATTTACAGATCTTTGTTCATTATGAAACCAGCAACTACTTTTTTCTGTCCTCACAAAGTAATACACAAATGTCAACAAAGTACAGAATTGCCAAATCTGACACATTTTAGCTTATTTTGCTTCTATAACTTCTCTGCTCTTTCTCAGCATGTAGCTTTTCATCAGTTCAGGCCTATGTGTTCATGGCATTGTGACTATGTTTGATTCATATGCTAGGCATGTGACTGGTGAAAATATTAAAGGGAAATTTTGGGGGAAAATATGCCTTTAAAGTGAAAGGAATTCACGTTGCATACCAATGCATGTGTTTCTTTATGAAGAAGTCCTGTATTTCATGTTTATTGTGTATCATATGACACACAATCAATAGTCATATTACATACACATTTATTAAAAGTAAATAAACTATATAAAACATCTATCAGTATTATTTGCTCCATGCAAATTGAGATTTTCTAATGGTAAGTCTCATTGATGAATAGAAACATTTTGGATATTTTTGGCGTGTTGGGGATGAAGGAACAATGCTATGCTATTTTTTGTTCTGCTTTTTTCCCTTGACATTTATTCTTTAACATAAATAACAAGGTTAGTGTTTTGTGTATTATGAAATCACACACACACAAAAAGGGTTTTCTTTAAAAGTTTGTGTCATATGTTTCCTGGGAAGACAGGCCCAATTCTTGTGGTAAATGTTTTTGAATGGCTTTATGAATTGTGAAAAGTCAGAGGCCAAATGCATCCTGATGTAACTCTCAGAGTCAGAAGTTTAAAACCTTTCATTATGGCATGGCTCACAAAGAGAATACACTTGTGCACTCCATTAAGGTCCAGGCACCTTGGCAGTCTGTGGAGCAGTGCCCATTTACATAAGCTGAGGATCTGGCCCCTGGTATGGTACTAATTCGTATGAATTTTGGCTAACATCAGTGAACTTACAATGAACTTGCAAATCCAAAGCAAACAGAGTCACTCTTGAGGGATAGATGATCCCAGGATGATGCCCTGCTAAAGGTAAAGCCATATATGCTGATCAGGGAACAAATCCCCCTCCTGAAAACTGATGTCAAGAAAACTGGG